CTCCTTGTTCCATTTACATTCTTAGATTAAAAATTTAACAGCTAAGATTTAGTCAAATTCATTTACTCATTTTAATAATAGTCTGTGTACAGCGTGAACTTCTAAATCATATTTTTACAGTTTAAATTTATTTATGTTTTATTATAATATTTTAAATATTACATCTTAATTGTTCAATAAAAAGATACCTATGTATGATATAAAAAAATCATCCATTATCTTTATATTTAAAATATACTTTCAATATCAAATTATCTTATAATTTGAGACAAGTTTATGCATATTAGTAAAGTTTAATAATGACACTTCACACATTTATCTTTTAAAAATAAAAAAAAAATTCAAAAAATATTATTTATTTTAATTTTAAATTCATAATTAATAATAAATTCTATTTTTATTAAATTATCTTACATTTTGAAAAAACAAAATTTTTCAAATGTTATCTTGTAATTTAATTTTGGAAGATTTTCGGTTTCACAGTTTCATTGAGCCTGCCCATGTCCGCCGTCCGTGTCAATAGCTTGGCATTTTGTTTCAGAGGTATATCATGCATCAATATTCGCGAAATTACAGGTTAACCAGAAAGAACTCAGATTCAAATCAAGCAAATCAAAGGGAGGATGACACTTAAATCTCAATTAAACCATTTTATCCCAATAAAATCTCAACAAACTTTAAAATGTAAAAGAAGTCTCTTGATTCTTAATTAATCTTTTGACTAAATTTTAAACTTTCAAATGCATAACTTATTTTTTGAAATTTGCAACTCTTTCTACTTTGATTTGTTACTCAATTTTTAATTTAATTAAGAGCATAATTTTTTTAATAAAAAAAAAATTTTTAACATTAAATTTTATAAGATTATTTATTCAGTTCCAGAAATTTGCAACTAATCTCATATTTGCAACTTTATCTACTATAATTTGCAACTCTACATCCCAATTTTATTTATGAACATAATCTTAATATTTACTTTTCTCATAAAAAATTATTTGTTCAATTAAAAGAATTTGTAATCTACTTTACCTCATATGCAATTCCATTTACCTTAGTTTACAACTTGAATTTCAAATATTATTTAAAAATTCATAAATAAAACTTGTTAAATAAAATTAATATTAAAACTTTGTGTTCATGAATTAACTCAGAGTATAAATTGCAAATACGAGAAAGTAAGTTGTAAATACTTATAGCTCACAAAATAACATTATAAATTCAAGGTTGAAATCTTGAATTTTTAAATAAAATTTTGAACTTGAATTGCAAACTAAGGTAAGTAGAATTACAAATCATAGAGAGTATGTTAAAAAATCTTAAAATTGAATAAATAAGTTCTTGTGAGAAAAATAAATATCGAGATTATGTTTATAAATCATAGTAGATAAGGTTGCAAATGCAAGAGAGTAAGCTGCAAATTTTTGGGGCTGAATAAATGATTTTATAAAATTCAATATTAAAATGTTGTTTTTTTATTAAAAAATTGTGTTCTTAAATAAAAATAGGAAATTGTGGTGAAAATCAAAGTAGAAGGAGTTGCAAATTTCAAAAAATAGGTTATAAATTTATAAGTTTAAAATTTTGTCAAAAGATTAATTAAATACTAAGAAATTTTCTTTTGTATTTTGAAATTTGTTCAAACTTTATTGAGATAAAATAATTTTTGAGACTTAACTGTTATTCTTTTCAAATCAAAAAGGAAAAAGTGAAAAATGAATATGTATCTTCATTTTTTAGTCAGCGGATCAATCACCTTGATATTTCCATGCTAAAAGAAATAAAAAGGAAGAATTACTTTATAATCTTATTAAGATATTTAATTACTTTTTAATTTATTATGTTGTCATTCTTTAAATTCAGTTGTCAATAAATTTAAAAAAAATTATTTTTTTAAATAAAATTTGTATGTAATTTTTTCAAAAGTAAATTGAACCTTGACATCGCAAGAGTAAACTAAAGAAATGATTCCGACACCAGTGAGTGGTGCGGCAGGAGGTTACTCCATACAATTAGTAAAAGTAAGCATGAAATAAAACAAAAGTGAAGTCAAAACGCAAAATGGCCGCAGCCTTGGACCTGCTACCACTATAACCTGTCCCGCAACCACAATGGGTGCTTCTTGCTTGTTTACTCGACAATTGATGAGTCAAAAATAAAACGAAAGAGATCATCGATATCATCAAAATACAATGTAATGAACAGTATTATTTATGACATATGAACAATGTATACACGGCTCACTTGTCAAGTCTAATGCAACACCATATACAAGACACACATCAAATTGTACATTTCAAAGCAAAGTAAGTAGTTTTGCTTGTGGAGCCATGGACTTATATTTAGTCGAAATTCAGTTTTAAATTATTAATTTTTAAATGATACTCACATTTGAAAAAACAGAAAGTAGTTAGAAAATTAGTTTTATTCCAGATTATGAATAAAACTATTCAAAGCATATATAAAATAAAACAACATTAGATTAAAGTTGGGAATTTGGGTGAATAAGCCTAACCTGAAAAAGTTCAATTTCAAGATGGCTCGAATTCTAAGAATTTATTTTTAAAATTATTTTTAATAAATTTTTATTTTAAAAATTAATTATTTTATTTTATAAAAAATATAAAATATATTTTTTTATACTTAGACGATGTATGAAACTCAAATATATGATATTTTAATATAAAATAACTTAAAACATAAAAAATTAATTAGTATTTATTATATTTTAAATATTTTAAAAAAAATTATTTGGGCATTTATGATTGGGCTTGGCTTGACTTTTTTTGAACCTACTTAGGCAAACATTAAAAAAAAATCATATTTTTCTTAAGGTTGATTTTAAATTTTTTGAATGGGTTTAGCCTAGCCTGTCAACCTTGACTTGATTTACCAAATTTACGTTAAATACACATAAATTGTTTAATTTTAATCTAAATATAATTTGGGATGGTCTTGGTATGAAATTCACGTCCTGTCACGCAATGCCAAGGTTGGCCTGTGGCCACTTGATCAAGTGCTCCACTTGGAAATTGGAATGTGAAAATGGAGGATCTTGCAAAAAGGTAAGCTCCGTGGTCTGGGGAGGGAATCCTATTGTGACCGTCCGCCCACTCACCTGCTTATTGATTAATTAATTTAAGATTTTCTTAAAGAAAATTTACAACCAAAGTCCATAGATCGTGACTGATTTTTTTAATAAAAAATTAAGCACAAGTTGATTCTATGAAAATTAATTTAATTAATTCGTATATGGACAACTAAGAATATGCAGAGAACTAGAGCTTTGGACGAGAAGTTGAAATCGAAATATGCAGACATAAGAATAATTTGAGTCACTTCATGGAATCCCAAGTGCCAACGCCCCATATTACTTGAAAATCAATTACAGTCGTGCTCATTTATGCTTGTAATAAATGACATCACGTAATTAACGAGCCTGAGCACGGGACAGAATATTCTTACTGCATTTCAGCACGCATCCTCATCTCTTTTCTCATCATCAACCACATATTTCTTCTGATATTATTTATAAGATAGAAAAAAAAATTTTAATTTTATTTATAAATCATGATATTAAATTTTTATTATAAATTTTTTTTATCCTTCATTAAATGTTAAAAAAAATTATGTTATTAAAATGTGTGTATTCAATAGAGATAAAGTTGAGAACTTATTAAATTTTAAAATAGAGTTAATAAATTTTAAATTTTTTTTTTTGATATTGATAAAATAAATTGAAAATAACTTATAAATAAAATAAAAAGAATAACAACAAAGAAAGCATCACATTGATACATGTAGAACAACCGAAGTCGCCTCTTACCCCAAACATGCGCAATGCGACATGAGCGTGCGTATACTTTTGAATTTTAATCTAAAAAAATGTATGATTTACAAGTTATAAATTTCTGAACTCCATGGAATGCGCTACATCATTTAATCAACATGTACACTTTTAATTAGAGCGTTTTGTTTTTTTTGTTTTTAGTCTTTGACGTGGATTAGAGCGTTTTATTTAACATCATGCATCCTCCTTTCTTTTAAACATATGAAATTCACTTGCTGCCTTTGTATTTTTTAAATATTTTAAAACAATTAAATGAAGATTGATGTGCACATTTGCACACGTCAATTAAGTGTTAAGAAAAAATGTAATTCTACGAGGTCATAGATATTGAAAGCATTGAGGAATTAGTTGGGATGCTAACTTTTCTTAATAGAGAGAATGACAATTAAGGTTCTTCTAAGAAAGTTTACGCTAAATCAAACATTTTTTAAGGGATTTTCAGTGCCAAAATGTAGCAAGATGAGTACTGAATTTAAGAACCTAACTACCTAAGGTATAATGAGATCCTAATTTAACATTAATTTTGAGTTCCCTAGTTTCTTCCTTCTTAATAATCAACCGGGAAACATACAAATTCGTTGGTTAACTTCTTGTCAAATGAAACTATAAAATTAAAATCTTAATAACGAGGGAGGAGGCTGTTGATGCGTCCAGTGAGTCATTGTTCGTCTGGTGTTTGGATACGGGGCGGGCCAGGAGTACCAGCGAACCCATACGTCATTACCCGTTCCGGGCCGGATCGTAGCAAACCCAACTCCCGAGTTCGGTAGACCGTTAAAACTGGGCTCCTTAATTTTCACAACACCCATAGCCCGCAGACCCAAAAAGGACAATATTAACATCAAACACGTAATATTTCAAGCAACTGCCTTCGTTATATGGTAATTAATTCAACACATCTACATATTTCCTGATAATCAATTAATTCTAAAATCCACGACTTACAAAATCATAACCTGCTACTTTACTACAACACATGAATCATCACTTTTTTATATCTAATGAAAAGATTAAAAAAGTAATAATAAACAAGAAGTGTCCACAAATGGGTCAGCCGTGCCAGCATGTAATTTATCAAGTCCATACAGCACATTGAACTACCATTCCTTTCGTTACTATATCCCCCTCCGAGGAAAGTCCCATCAGCCTGGCCTTAGTTGTGAACGGAGTGTCCTACGCCGGGGCTGTGACCGGGGTTCGTGGGTCTGAAATCAGAGACGTGACGACCCTCAGAGGGCGGCGACGGTGGAGGCACGTCTATCACGGCGACAGCATTCGCAGTTGACAGTTCTTTTCCATGCCCAAGGTCGTCGACCTCACGCTTGGCAAACTTTTCGCTGCCTTCAGACTTCAAATGTCGTCCCTCAATGGATGAAAATTCTAGGAGCAAGGTCAGTGCAAGGATGACAAAGCACAGGACGAACTTGATTTGGGCCATCAAGACTAGAGAGATAAAGACTGGTTTTGGTCGGGTGGCTCAAGTTCCTATTGAGAAAATAAGAGAGTCGTATAGATGTTGAACCAAACTCAAGGTAATGATTATCTAAGCAATACAGGATGCGTAGATATCGGAGCTTCGAGCTAAGCTGCTTATTAAACCCTCCTTTCTCCTTTTATAGAGCTCAAGGGCCTTGCGTCACGCATGTGCGCGTGGGCCCAAGCCATACTTCCTGAGTAGTGGGAAATGCATAGTTTTTTGATTCTATGAAAACAGTGCAGAAGTGCGGCTGTGCCTACCTAATAATAATCGAAAGTGCAGAGAACAAGTGATTAGACATAGAAGATTTTGTAACCATTCAAACTGTTCGATGTCGATAGCATTACGATTGTCATAGGGGTACAGCTAGGAAACTTACTTTCTACGAACACTACATCGCCAACTTGGAGGGTGTGGCTTAGGTTTTTGAGCCTTTCAATATGTGTAATTATTTACATGATAAAGCGGCAAATTGGAAGACAATCTGACTCCATGTTTAGAACTCTACATTTTGATATGGAGCTGGAACTGGTGGTGGAGGGCAACTTGGTTTGCTTATTATTTAAGCATTAAATCTCCACTCTTGCCCGTTAGTTCATCAGTTGTTAGTTGTCGTTCTTCATCTGCCCCTTGGACAATAGATCTCAGCTTTCCAACTAGATTGCAACTGACCTTGTTGAGCTCTGTCTTTTCCTGCAGTTGGCTACCCGACCAGCTTTCTAGTTTCTACCATCGTCACATGCAACAGTCAAGTGGCCTTCCACAGATTTTAAAGGCTACAATTAAACAATGGTCCCTTTTGTTGATTCTTGAGAAGATGCTCTGCAGATGCTTTTGAAAAGAGTATATTCGTAAAGTTTTTTGTCTAAAAACATCAAAGTAGTTATAAAATTCGGACAAGATTCTTCACTTTCTGTATTCATATTATAAAATATTAATGAAGAGAAGAAAAGAATACAACTAAACAAGAGTACTGTATTGATTTGTAAATGATACTAGTGCAGTGATGGGCAGCCTTTACAGCAATTGACGAGCTCTTCCGTAACAATCTCAGCTAATATTTTAACATGTCGACTTCGAAACTGGGAGCTAGCATATGGGTGTAACTCGTTCAGTGCAGAGGTTATTTACCTTAAGACAATCAATGTTCCAGTTAACAACGACTTTTTCTCATACAATTGGACGAAGTATATAGGGGTTTGACTGGAGGGAAGTACTATCACAATATATGATTTGAGGATTCGTGGGAGTTTCGCCATTGCACCTTACTCTTGTGTTTGGAAGAATTTTTTTTAGGGGAAATGGAATGGAGTAAAATAGCTAAATAGTCTAGGCTATTGTTTGTAAGTTTTTTTTTTTAAGAAAGATGAAATGATAAAAAAAGGCCTTTAAAATCTTACTTTACAATCATTTTTTTTTTTCGTCCATCCTTGCAAAGTTAAGGAAGCATAATATAATTATTTCATTTCATTTACAAAATTACTTGCAACATTCTACACTAATAAAAACAAAAAATTTTATTTATTATTTTTATTATCCAGCCATCTTTCTCGCCTTTCGCCATCTCTCTCCCCCCTATCAACACTACAAGTTTGCTGCATTTTCCTCTTGTACAATAAGTATGTTTGCTTAAGTAGCTCTATTACGTTTTTTTTTATTCTTATTTCTTAAATATCTTATTTGACTGTTAATTTTAATTATTATTATTATTATTATTTTTTGTTGAAAAATTATAATAATTATTTAGCGGACATCATTATTTCCTTTAAATTTGGTCATATGAGTAATATTGAAAGAAAAAAAATTTTAATCCATTTTTTTTTTTTCATTTTATAATAACTCTCAAATAATGGTTACGTAAGCTATTCTTGTCTATCATAAAACTCCCAAAAATAAAAAAAAATTGTTCTATGCCACTTTAATCCACTCCATTCTATTAATAACCATTCCTTTTAATTCAATCCAGAACTCTCAAACACACTATAATTTTTTGGTAATAGAACGGGAGATGATATGTTTTTTTTTTTCTGGCCATTGCTTGTTAGAGTGTTGATGATGGGTTTGGCAGTAACCATTTTGGGTTTGCATAACCCTGACCACTTTGTTTTGGAAATTTGAATTGCATTGCCGAGACTATTTGTGTTTAGCCATTGCCTGTTCAAGACTTCTAGATCAACTTCTTGGAATTCTATCGGTCTCTCTCCTATAGAATCTCTTTTTCAAGCCTTTTACATGTCTTGTATCTCGTTAACACTTGACATAGTACAATCAGACCATCTTAATGATGTAAGTGCCAAGTCCATCATATTCTGCAGAAAGAAGCTCTGCCGGAGCCATGGGTGATCAAGCAGAAAGAAGCAAGTGCATCAACTAATCCTGAGAATTGTGGTTATCTCGTCAAATAATTTTGGCCAACACAGAGTGCTTTTTTAAACACTTGAAAAAATCAATTTGGACGAGTAATTTTCAAATAACACGGCAACGTTAGCCAATATGCCCCGAATATTCCGCTATTTATCCAACACAGCCTTGAGCCAAAGACGCTCCCCGCTCCCAAAACAAAATACTCATATTGACTCGAATAAATAAGCGAGTATATACAGGATCATTCTGATTGTTCAGAACTAATAACCAAAAATACAAAGGAACCGACGTATCTTTGATCAACGGAGTGTTGGCACAGATGGACGCATGGGTGAAAACAAATAGGGTGAGCTGAGGCTCGCAGGGGCAATATCAGTGAAACTATTATTTGACCCTTTTCAACAATTTGCTAGGGTTATCGCCAAAGATATGCCTCACATTATTCACGACTTGTGAATAACGCGACTTTCTATGCTTTTTATATTTTATAATGATAATGGCTAACTGACTGACGATATTGGTTGATTTCCACTAACAATCAGCCTCCAGAAAACTCTCGTATATAGTTCCATTCAGCGTTCTCTTAACATCATCCCAATTCTTAATGTATTCTGACAGCGGTCCTCTATGTATCTTAACCTGCCTGCTTCTTAAATCCATCCGCGGCAATCCTAAAAACTCTAGCACGTCTTTAAGCTTCTGCAACAAACAAAAACTTTAGATGTACCAAAAACTAAGAAAATACCAAATATATCAGCTTAGAGATTTAACCAAATTTAAACTTCAAGAAACATTTACTATCTTCTACATGTTATTTTTGACTGGTTAAAGCTTTGCCATTTATGATTTCAAATGTAATTTTCTTTATAATAGTCAAACACTAAATAAATTAGGGAAAAAAATAACACAACATTTTTCCATAAGAAAATATGCTAACTATGAAGGCAGAGGAAAGAGGAGGAAAGCATATCGCCGTATCAGATACCGTCGTATCAGATAGAAGCTAATATGCGCATTATATCAGGAAGAGGTGACCAAAATAACTTTAAAGGATTCAGAAATTTAAAAGACCCTTACAGTGCGATTACTCATAAGATCCTCATAGTACAGGAGCATGTGGCGAGTGCTATTGAAGTATTCCAAAGCCATTGCAGTTTTCATCTCCATTTCCTTCAAGTCAGCTAGCAGTGATGAAGAATTTAAGGTGGGCTTATACTTCGCAAGAGTATCAGCCTGTAAAAAAAAAAAAAAAAAAAGTTGCCAGTTAAGAGTTTCATTTAACGTATATGAGAGAGTCGAGGGGCAAAATGACTAGACAAACCTCTTCAGGAGAATGTACATGAGACTTGTGAGTTCCATTCAATAACTTCGCATAACGATCATAGGAATTGGCAAGCATTGAAACCATCCTGCGTAGCAAGTTTCTCCGAAATAGAAATATAACAGAGACACTTCTTCTGTTAAAGTAGTCTACTATATCTTTGTGGTGCTCCAATAATCCCTACATAAAAACAGATGTCTTGATTCTTCAATTACTAACCCTACCAAGCATAAATAGTAAGAAAAGACCACTCCAAGTCTTGACTCATAATAGAGCTCAGTTAGATCATATCAAATTATTGAACTGAATATCTATTCTGATAACAATTATAACAAATGCCAGATCCTTCGATGGTTCAAGAGTAAGTGCATCAACAACTAATCTGCCTTCTCATGTTGCATGACGTCATTCACCACAGAGGTAAGTCCAATAATTCGCAATTGGCCACTCACAGAAAATGAGCACTGCAAATAAATGCCCGTAACATTAAGTCCAGGCGAGGGAATTGACAAATTAGTTTCTATGGAACGACTGAGTCAACATCGGTGTGGTAGGTCCAGTAGCATTAAGTTTCATTTAAGATCTAGCATCAACTTAGATGTGTTAGAAGACAAAAGGGAATATAGAAAGAAAAGGGAGGGGGTGACAAGGCTGAGGTGAGGCCATAACTAGATTTTACTGCCCAAGTCTTCCACTGCGGGCGATTGCTTGCGTATCTGTGTCAGCCAAAGTAACTCCAGAAGCATTTCCAACAGATAGTGACTAATGAGTGAAGTAGAGCAAATATGGCGCCTTGAATATTAGCACCTCAGACACAGTTCCAGTAAATCTGTCATGAGAAGTCTCAAAACCAAAGTTCCCTACAATCTGCAGTTCTGACATGACAGAAACTCTCCGGAGGAAGTCATAGACTGATGAAAATGGCGACCATGATAGAATACCAAAGAGGCAGAGTTTCACCCAAAATATATTACAATAGACAATGCTTCTAGAGGCTTTTTCTGATAGAGACATACTTTCTAGAGTATTAAGTAGCCATATAGAGAAACTACAGTCTACAGTTGCCCAATATGCCTGCTAAAGTAAATAACAGAAGATGTATTTGATCGTTTTTCGCAACATTGGTAACAGAATTTTAAGCCCAAGAGAAGTTGATATCCATAATTCACATTCAATGTGTTAATAAAGTAGGACATATTCTAGGATAAGTATGTGTAGCGTATAGATTTCGGATGTGAGGAGGAATGGCTTCTGCACATATTTGTGAATAATCTAGAGGACCCTTCCTAGCACAATACGTCAACACTCATAGACTAAGAATAGACAAATTTCAATATTTGAAAAAGAAAAATGAAATTAAGATAAATTATGAATTCCATAGGCATAATCTGAATTTTGAAGTTTGAACAAAATGCAGTGAATGTGTGGGTAAATAGCATTGAAAGCCACCCCAAAACCACATTTTGGTCGAAGCAACCTGCGTGTTGCTTGCACCGAAACCACAACGTCCTATAAGCATGTTGAGTTGAAAACACTTGGCAGAAGAACAAGGGATATTTTACCTGATTGAACATCCACTTCAAGCCAACTGCAGCAGAGCACTCATTCTTGGAGGCACTACTGAACCAATCCAAATTATAAACTTTATCTAAAGTCTGTACAATCGAAGAAATATTTCTCCTTCTATCATAAACAGAAAATATTTCCCCGTTTGAGCTCACATTAACATGACTGTTCAAAAGAGTCTCAAACCATCCACTGCCTGATCTCTGATTGGACAAAATGACAAAGTACTGTACAGGATTACGAGCACACTCATCCCTGGTAATTTACGAGACAATTAACAAAAATCACAATAAAGAGAAATTGGCAAATTATTTTCGTAAACTTCAAATTACCGGCTAAAAGATACAGGTTTGGGATAATGTAAGCAGGGAACATCCGGTGGCTTTATTCTGTGCTGAGAAGGCTTCTCAATGACATGCATCTCCAGAAACTTAGTCCTTGCACGTGAGGTTATCTGTTTTAGGCAGACCGAACAAATGAAGATACCGCAAACCACTGAAAATATTAGAACTGCCGTCCTTAACAACAACGGAGATTTCTTCGGAGGCTTTATAACGAGAATATCCTGCGAAGTCCGACAAGAGAAATTAATTGTCGAGGAGCAGGGAAATGGGAACATTGCAAGCTCATCAAATGCGCATTCTTGCGACCCCAGTTCCCCAGAAAAGCAGATATCTTGGTCGAATCATACAAATTATCAAGTAGTTGGAGAAAACAAAGTGCGACGGACCATAGGAATTCTAGAAGCATTAATTTCAGCTAAGAACCACGCAACAGTCTATAAATTTGTAATATATATTCAAACAGCAACCCCGATCGAAGCATGCAGAGAAGCTCGAAGCATTCTTCTTAGAGTCCACCTCACAGTTTCTTGCCCTATTCAACTGCAACGGCAAAAGCCCTAACCTAAAACACAAACTCTCACAATCAAATTAAACCCGGATAAGGACAGTCCTATTGTACCCGAAACATGCCTGACAATAGCCCATATTGAGAATTTCAAATATTTGCGAAAAGGAGAAGATAAAAAAGAAACACATGACTTGTCATAGTTAAAAAGGAGCTGATCCTGAGCAGCAAGGACCACGTAGCAAGAATTAAAGAGGGAAGGAATTGGAAGCACCTTGTTGAAGAAACACATATCTTCTACCATAGCTGTTGGAGAAACAGAGGAGAAGAGATCCAAAGAATCGAAAACCAGAGAACCCAGATTGTTCTGTATGCTCCACAGTAACAACTGTTTCTTCTGTACTCAGCTAAAAAAGTTGAGGAAACGGCCGAAGAGAAGTAACCGAGGGGAATGGTGGAGGCATAAACAAACAAAAGAATAGCTCAGCTTTGGCGTTGCTTCGCATCGAAAAACTCAGTAAGGAGACCCCATAAGCCAAGCCAAACGGCACCCCGAGCTGCCCTTCTCCCGGCAGCGCGCTCTCTCTCTCTCTCTCTCTGTGTTTAAAATTTTTTTCTTTGGTTACTATTTTGGGAGTCTCAGAGGCTGCAGAATCGAGTATACGAGTCAGCAGGTAATTTAACTTTAACGTACAAAATTTGGCGCAAATCTAATAAATCCTCGAAGCGACGACCGATGACCCATAACCACATAGCACGGTACCCAAGGCGCGTGACGAGGAGGAAAGGGCCAAAAGCAGCAGAGGGGTACAAGTACAATTTGTACGACCCTTGACTCTTGCTTGATGTCTTTTTTAAAAAAAAAAAAAAACTGATTGTTTGATGTCAATTGTGATCGAAACTTCAGAAACTCCAACGAGACATTAAGAAGAAAGATGTGTAAAATGTTTTCAAGTGCAGATAACACTTTTAAAAGCTTAATTCGTCCCTATTGTAAATTTTGGGTGTAAATTAGTTGATCGTGGATTCTTTTTGAATGCGATGATGGCTGTCAGGTATGGTATGCGCTCTCAGGATTCAAGGCAACATAATAATTATTTTCACAAGTGATAATCTGACTATATCTTTTATGCACACAGAGAGTTTGGATGATGAAATAGAGAAGTAGTTAGGGTTATTTACAGACAGTAAGATGATGTTTTGAAGTGGAGTCTCTTGAAATAATTCAATTTAAAAAAATTATATACGTGGTCATAGAAATTTAAAGTGTTCATTTTTAATTAAATTAAAATATATGAATCTTTTATTTATTATTATTTTATGAGAAAATTCTTCTTATTAATATTATTTAACACTTTAAAATTAATTTATTTTGATTTGATTAGAGAAAAATATTTTAAAATAAGAATCTAGGTGTTTCGCTAATTAAAAAGCTATTGTTTCAGGGTTCATGAGCCTACTTTTACGTGGTTATTTAAAATAATTTTTTCATGAGTAATAACATCTGTTTAATATGAAAGTATCATTAAATTGGTATTTCTATCAAAACTAAGTGATGTTTACCCTGCCTTTTGATTTTATGACATTTCAAAAGTACTTTTAGGTATCTTTTTTAAGAAGCTAGTTTGTTTATTTTAAAAATATTCCAACATTTTATATTTAAGAAAATAATTTCTTTTATTTTGAATAATATATATGTACGTATGTAATGTGTTACTGATGTTGTTTTTCATTTTATTTTCTATTTAAGACTAAAATAATTGCTACTTTCTTGAATTTTATTTAAGCCTACGCACATAACCTCTTTAATATTTAAAAGTTTAAAATTAAAACCCTAATGTTTTATGATTTGACAGTCAAACACCTTACTGTTGAAGTTGCCATTAAATTTAACGGTTTTTGTCATATCTCTATTTTTTTTTTTTTCAAATCTCATTCCATATATCTATAATTAAAAAAACACTTAGCTTGTGATATGAAATTTTGAATATTTTAAGTATTTCATTTATCAACTTCAAAAATTATTTCATTTAGACCTTAAAAACCATTTGGGTCATTTCGTTATTTTTTATCTGAATATTTCTTCATCCTCAACGCTCCTTAACCAAGCAATGGCGGAAAAGGTTTTGTGCCCTCGTGCTTCAGAAAGCTTACCCCTCCTTTTGCTATTGAGTGGTAAAAGCTTTTATAATATCCCTATTTGGTTTTTAATCAAATTGTGTGAGCAAAATTAATCGGCTCTTATGTCCAGAAATTAATCGCGAATCCACGCTTGGGTTAATGACGAGAGCTCATTACCATAGTCATCTTGACTTCGAAAGCACCCTTTATCCTTCTGATTGCTTGCAGACAGTGGGACCCTTTAATGCGTAATTAATTAGCGTCCGATCATGCTTCCTGAAATTAAAAGCCCGATTTTATAAGATTTTCTTAGTAACTTAATGTTCCATAATTTAAGAAATTTAAAAAAAATAGTAATTCCTTAACAAGATTTACCTCAAAACAACAATCATTATTTTATTCTTTAAATATTTTTCTCTTATTCCCCTTGATAAATTAAATATATTTCAAAATATGTTTAACTTACTTTAGCTATATTCATAACTTTACTAAAAAGGCACATTATAAAATAGATTGAAGGAAGTATAGTGTATAATATTGCCTCGGTCTCAAGTTAAAAGAAATTTTTTAATAAAATTATATATATTAATAAAGTTTATTAAATATATTTTATAACTTTATTTTAAAAAAAATATAAACTTTTAAAAATATAATTTATTTAATATTTCAATTGTAATTAAATGAATATTAAAAAAATATATGAAAGGAATAATATTAATAAAATATTATTAATAAAATTGTATTTTTACTAAAGTATGTTATATATTTTGGCACGATTTTTTAAAAAAAATATTTTATAATTTATGATAGAGATAATAAATAAAAACGCTCAGACATGTTAATACAAGGGAAAATTGCATTCACGCCCCCGCAAGCAAGAAATTTGTAGATGAAAATCAATGGAATCTAATATTACTTCAAAGGTCCAAACTCTAAAGGATTTATTTGCAATTATCTTTCTCGGTGAAACTATCCATTTATCCCATCCAAAATCAACTGTACTTCGATCTTTTCTTCTTCCTCTCTCTTCCTCTTCCTCTTCATTCTTCTTCTTTCTCACTCTTCAGGAAAACAATGGCCTCCTATCATGGTGGATAATACTCTAACCCTACATCCTAAGGATCATATCCATAATTGTCCTCATTGCCAAACACAATGGCTCTTGCCTCCTTCATAGTTTCCCAATGTTTTAGAATTGTGGGAATACAACACTTATTTCACGAACTATGGCCATTGTTTCAACTTCACTGCCTTGAGACATTATGGTCGGAGCTTCAACCAGATCTGATGCTAAAGAAGCGCAAGGCGACAATTATGGACAGAAACTGGAGGTGGGCTCATATGCAAGGGTAGCTAGTGTCAGAGGGTCATGAGGCCAGAATATGGTCAATGATGATTATCGATCTATGTTCCAATTCGTGAATTAAGGTTTTGACCCTTTTATTGGTGTCTTTTGATAATTGGGTTTGCCCTTCACAATCCTTTTCATAGCATTTAATTTTAATATAAATGAGACAAGGAAGGGGGTGGAATAAGAGGACTGAAGAAGGGGCAGAGAGAAAAGGGTGAGAGAGAAGAAGAGGACGGAGTTAATGTTAGTTGATTTTGAGAGTGGTAAATGTTTCATTTGACTAAGAAAGATAATTTGCAAATGAGATTTTTGAGCATTTAAAGTAATATTATTTGGCTTTATATGCAAATTCCTTATTTTTGATAGCCCAGAATGCGATCTCCTTTGACACCGCATGAAAAGTCTAACCTATCTACATTCTTATCTTTTTTTTCCCTGTCGCTCAACTAGAAAATTTAGGGTGTCACCATATCTTATTTAGATTAATCAAAACTCCTGCTAGGCAGAGTCATTATTATCAATGGCCAGTCTTAGGACTAACATGAGATAACACGATAACATACCAAACGAAATATTAAACAATACCAATATTATTTTTGGGCCTATTTATACAAAATAATTTATAGTTGAGAGACATTGCTATCATTTTACTTTGTTTTCATTTTGTTCTCTTTTGATTTCTTAATAACATATTTCAGCATAAAATACGACGTTAAAACAAAATATTATCACAGATCTATACAAACAAATCTTACAAAATTTCATATGAAAATGATGGCATGTGCAGAAATTTCAATGCGTCTTGAAATATATGCAGAATGTAAAAATTATTTTTATTTTTTATTTTTTATTTTCCTCCATCGTTTAATATCACAATATTTTAAATTTTAAATTGTTTCAAAACTTTTTAGAAATATTATTAGAAACAAGTCATTATTATACTTAAAGATTTGAGATAAGAAAAACATTTAAAAATAAAAAAATCAGAATAAATAAATAAGAAGAACATGCAATTTAAAACAAGATTAAGCATATTAATAAAACATAATAACACCATTTTACAAATTTTTTAAACAAAATTATAAAATTTTAAAAATGTTTGTTTATACTTAATTGGTAAGTTACAATACAATTTCAATTCTCTTTTTACGTGAAGAGTGACATTAAAAATATTATTAATAATTTTTTGATTAAATTATTTTGTATTTTAATGTGACAAACTTTGTTAAAATTATTTTATAATTTAAAACGAAATGAATATAATAATATTTCCACTTCCTAGCGGCAGAGTTTGGTTTTGGAGTCCAAGGCACGCGGGCGAGATGCGTTGACGATATTTCAAGAGGTTTAATTTATTAAGTTAAATCCCTTTAACAACGATGGCCTGCGTACGATCTACGATGCCAATTTTCTTTCTTTATTTTATTTGGTCCACAGAACGACGCGGTGTTTAAAATTACTGTCCTTTATTTATAAAAAATATAATCTTTCTATCTCAAATTATAAAATATTTTTAAAAAAAATTTATGAGTTCAAAATACGATACATTTAAAAAAATTAAAATTTTGTTAAATAAATTTATTTTAATATTGTTATTTCTTTCTCTCTCTTTAATATTAAGTAAGTATAGATTTAAAGTTATTAAATAAAAAATATTTTTAAAAATTATATTTTTGTTTTTAAAAAATAATATTATTCAGTGTATTTAATGAGGTTTATTTATATGTGAGATTTCATTTAAAAGTGTCATATAATTTAAAACAGAATGAGTATTGTATTATAAACATCTAGTTTGATGGGCGTAAAATATAATTAACACAACAGTCTCATCCAAGATGTATCATAATTCGGTAGGTATTTTTTTATGAAAATAGAGGTATAAATTTAATTACAAACTATCTTTTAATAATTATTGAATAGCTTATAATATGAAATAATTTAAAATAAATTACAAACTATTTAAATGCCTATCATCCTTTATCAAATGTAAACTAATAGTTGTTTATTTCAGATTGTGGATCTCAAATAATTTGACATGTGCCACCTTCATCAAACCCTCTCTTTGGTATCTTCATCAATCTCTCTCTCTCCTCCCTCTCTCCATACTTTGATCTTTCCATCCATGGTGATGAAAGTTTTCTCTCCAAACAGGAGTGAAATCAATAACTTTTTTTAAAAAAGTTGAGATAATAAAATATATATAATAATTAAAATATATATATATATATATATCATCGACATAATATAAATATTTTGACATATATATATATTTATATTTAATTTTATAAATGTATAATATATATATATATATATATTAAATTTTGCTCATAAATTTTTCGTGATATGAAAATCATTAGTTATTATATCTACTATAAATATTTTAGCAATTTCTTTTGTAATATGAGTTACATTAAACTGATAAAAATTTTATTACCCGTATGATAATTAAATGATTTAAATACATTATTAAAATTTAAAGTTTTATTCAATGTAATAAGCTATATTACTTGCTAGTTAAATTTACTATTTGATTTTTTAATTGATAATTGTAGTAAACAAATATATCAACACATTAATAATACTCGATTGTCATAAAATCTTTATGTCCATGAGATCAAATTATATTAGAGTAAAAACCATTCATGTCATAGATTTTAATAGTTTCATTATTTTTTAAAAAGTAATTTTTTTAGAAGAATATTTTCAGCAAACCTCTTAACTCTTGAATAAGTAATCTTTGATTGATATCAAGCACATAGCATTCAATATATCTTGAAATTTTTGTTGCAATGCTTAACGAAGTTTGTTAATAATAATTATAAAATGAAAGAAAAATATGATGTCATCAATACTTCAAGATCATATAAATCATTATTTTGTTGAAAATGGGTAAATCCTATGATATTTATATTTTTAAACGACTGAAATAGTTGCTCTACACATATCTAAAAGGCGACATATATAATTAAAATGAGAATTGTATTTAATATTTTATGACTTCAATAATGTACCAATTTAATGAAGTTAAAAATATATAACTCCTATATTTTACTAAAAAAAAATTAAAAAATTAGGGAGGCCATGACTCCTGCCAGTCTCCCTTCTCCCCACTCCTATCCCTATAATTTCTTACATCTATTTGGGTAACAAAGCAAGACAATCTAATATGTGAATACCTAATGTAATTTTTTTAGAAAACCATATTCATAAGTTCAAAATTAACTTGAAAACTATGGAGGGTGTTTGCTTAATTTCTACCTCTCTCTTAAAACTTGAAATCTCAATCGGTAAAAACAATGACAAAAGCAAAGAAGGTGAAGATTAAAAAAAAAATTGAGGGTGCAAAAATGAAAAGGAAAAGAGGGATATTTGTAATAGGATATACAATCATTTATTACTTATTATTATTATTGTTGTTGTTGTTGTTATTCAAAGTTCAAACTAAGGGAACAACAAAAGTCCCAACTACTTTTTGGTGGGTTTGACTCTCTCTCTCTCTCTCCTCCCCTCAGTCTAAATTTAATCCATGTTTAAACGTTTAAATAGGTAATTGACTTCAATTAACCTTGAATACAAATTTATCCATTCTAAACCTTAAAATAATATGAATTTTTAATTTTGAATCACCAATAAAAATCTAATTTTTATAATTTATTTATTATATAAAGATTAGAATATTACATTGCAATCGTGAGGAGTGAGATTAGTAATGAGGAGCGAAACCAATGAGGTGAGTCACCGAGAATGAAGAAGCGAAGCTAATGATGAAGGTGAGGCAAGACTCACAATTAAAAGGTGGGGACAGAGAAGGTGGAGGTGGGTTTTAGACTCTTATTGGTGGTGATGAAGGGCGAGTAAGGAGCAATGAAGGTAAAGAAGAGGTCATTGAAATGGAAGAGATAGGAGGTATGAGTAAGATTGCTGGTAGAAAGGTCAGATTTGGCGATAAAAGGTATGCTGATGAGTGTTTTATTAGTGAAGAAGAATAAGATAGGGATGGTGAGGAGAGAGAGTGAAAGAGTAAATGAAAAAACTTTTGTTAATCACAAATTAACGGTTGGCGCTGGGTGTTATAATTTAATTAGTTGATTTTTTTTTTAGAATTGACAAAACGAGCCTAGCTTGTTTAAGCTCTAAAATAACTAAGGCTAGGTAACCTAATTAGAGGGTATACATAAATTTTGAGCTTAAAAAGGCCAATCTTAACGAGCCTAGAAATAAAAGGGTTGCGCCTTTACGGCTAAAGGTTAGCTTTTTTAGACTAGATTATTTTTAAAAAAATTCAAGTAAAAAATAAAAAAACATCAACTATTTATCATACTTCAAGTCTCTTATTAATAACAACAATTATTTTTTATGATGCATTTTATGTACATTGTAAATACTTCATCAATTAAATTTGTTATTTTTTACTCTTATTTTATTTTATTAGTATTTAAGTGATATTTTTTCAATCCTTTACAAATCACATTAGTGTGTATGATTTTTTTATGGACAAGTCTAAATTATAGAATTGTTTAGGTAAACTAATACAAAATCTCATAATTTGAAAAAATTAAATATTGAATTGGTGAAAAAATAATCAACATCAATTTTCAATTCTTTTAAAAATAATTGTTGATATTCTTAATATTTTAATTACTACTATTTCTTTTAGAGTTGGCTCTAATTATTAATTTTATTTTTTTTACAATACCTCATAATATACTATATTCAGTGACCTTTAAAAATTAGTACGTCATTAAATTTATACCTTTATCTATTTTATAATAATCCAGCAGTTATTATATTTAAAAGAGGAGTTTGTTAGTCCACTATTCCAATTCCTTTTTGGCCTTTGCCGTACTTGCGGGGATAATTCACTGACCCTCTCTTTCTCTCTCTACGCGCGCGCGTGTGGAGGAGGTCAATGGAGGATGATGAATGAATAAAATACTCCCCCCAACTTTTATTTATAAAATATCTTATACAACTAATTTTGGTTCATAATATAAAATATGTTTTAATAATTACATTATTTTTTCAATTCCATTGATTATAGCAAAAATGTTTGATATAGTTGTATTATAATTTAAAATTAAAGATAAAAATATAAGTATATTTTATTTTTTTATGATATAAAAAAAACTTTTTTTCAAATACGTGGAGTGATTGAAAGTTTGCTAAAATCAAAACCGAAACAACGCATCTACAACGTTGTAGTTCTAACTGAAAAGCAAATATTTTATTTTTTATTTTTTAAAAGGTGTTTTTTTGTTGGGGGGGTTTTTTGAGAGGTTGGCCATGAATGCAGATGGAGGAGGAGGGCGGAATGGCATAATCGTGAGACAGACTGAGACGTGCCTTTGGATTGAGAATGAATCGTGATAAGGAAAGCCTGGTTTACATGTTGACCGAGCCCATCGCATGAATTAACCACACCAACTTTCAACTTTTCCGTTTGACTCGAGCGTTTGCTAATTACCGCAGAGGAAAAGTAAAGCCGTGTAATGAGTTATTACTAAAATATGAACAAAGTTTGACTTGGGGATTGGGAGGATCATCGTCTAAAGAGAATGACGTGCATTTGCTGATTGAAGAACGTGGAGGGCTTGGGATGAGGCTTCCTGGAAATTTTCGTAGAATGATGGAATCAGTAGAATGATAAATTGCCCACTTGTGTTCCAAATCCAATCTACTTCCACTTGAGTTCATGATTGAGGGCAATAAATGAACACTGTTTAATAATTTTGTTCAGAAAAATTAAAGGACAGTAAATAAAGTTTTCTTGAGGTACCACTTTTTCTAAAAGATCACTCAATGCTGTTGCTTTTGATTTTTTTTTTCAAGAGAAATTATATTAAGAGAACCCAGCCTTCTGAAAAAAAAAAAAAAGCATTTACCTGCCAGGTTGTCAAGAGGACATTAGTATTTTAGTTATCGTCATTTCAGTTTTATTCATGCTTAAATCTCAAGGTCCTGACAGATATCCTTGGATTTAGTGAGATTTTTGAATATATGGAATAGTTGTAAGGGATTTTGTCGTAATTTTCCCAGAAAAATGCTACAACTAATTTATATCGGTCTGGTAGAAAATAATTTTAATTAAACTTGTTTGTAATTTTAAAAAAATATAATTTAACAAAAAAAGAAAACTGACCACAGATGTAATAAAATTAACATTTTTAGAATTTACTATATCATTATACTGCATTTTTTAATTATGCGTATTTTAATTTAATATCATCATGCAATGCTTCACTTAGATTGTTTTCCCAACTTTAAATAAAGTTTTGAAAAATTTATATAACTGCTTCTTTAACGTTGTTAATCATAATGAAAAAAAAAAAGTCTAATATAAGGATGGTTGCTATAACTTTGACAAAACGCAATGTCGTGCAAACCATTTTTCCGCTGCTGCTTGTAGTGCCACTTTGAATAATTTGCTTTCGTATTGCCGGATATCATATTCGTGTTTATTTGGAGTTTGAAAATTTGAAGTACAAAAAAAAAAAACTAAAATTTATCACTCAGATGCATTTGAAATAAATGAATGAATGAACGCCTAAAATTCAAAACGCCAGAAATTGTTGTCAGGATTCAGGACTGAGCAGCAGAGCCACTGAAAACAAGTAAACGTGCAAAAGGATGGTGGACTTTACATGGTGCGACAGCCTGGATTATTGCCCACCCTGATTTAAGTTCTCATAGATCAGAAGCAATACCACATGGGAGTAAAAAAAAAAAAAAAAAAACAAAACAAAACAAAAACAAAAACAAAAAACCAACGAAGACACATGAATATCCTAAAATTTTGTTTCTTTCTTAATTTAATATTGGCCTTGTGAAAATCTACATAACATGATAAGCCTCCCGTATAATATCAATATGTCATGTACTTGTAGTATAACTGCTCACTCTTTATGGTTCCGTTTGTCTCGTTTCAGGGTCCTAAGCTGTAAGCTCGTGAATGCCTCGTTTTTTACTTCGTGGAGTCTATCAACGTGCAGTTGGTTCGACCTGCACGTGTTGATGATTAACATGCTTAGTTCTCAGGGTAATTGACAGAAAAAGCCAGAAAGCACGAAACAAGACTGTTTATGCAATGATGCAGCATGTAATTATCATAAGGCCTTGGAGTATATTTTCTGGATCCACCTTCGGCAAGATAGCAAGCCCATCACAAGGGTCCATTTTGGGCCAACTATCCACACCACGGCTCTCTCTTACACCCGTACGAGTTGCTTTTGTCTTCTTCAGAGTCAAAATGAAGGGCTAAAATTGAGTGGCAAACTACATCTAATTTCAAAGGCATGCAAATTCTTATCTTGCTAGCTGCTATCGTTGTCCAAAGATTACAAACATTTCCCAAATATAAGTGTGAAACATTTATATCTTGGCTAATACGAGTGCACTGTTATACTTAGAAATAATTACAAACTTACCAGCTTTCAACTTCTTGTTAGGCCTTTCTGCTTTAACTTCACGCGGCAATCACACTATTTCCTGATGGCTTCAGTGATCCATGGTCTTCCATCAGCTTTCGCATTCTTGCGGCATCATCCCACCTTCCAGCTCTTGCATATATGTTTGACAGCGTCACATAATGACCAGCATCGTAAGGTTCCAAACGGATCAAATGTTCTGCAGCCAGCTCACCAACAGTAACATTATGGTGATCTTGGCATGCAGCTAGTAAAGCGCCCCAAATATGCTTGTCAGGTTTGAGGCGCATTTCGTTAATGAAATTACAGGCATCTTCAAGCCGACCAGCACGTGCTAGCATGTCAACAACACAAGAATAATGTGCACTTACGGGGGTTAATCCAAAATCTTTTGTCATTCTGTAGAAGAATTCGATCCCTTGATCCACGAGTCCTGAGTGACTGCAAGCTGAAAGTGCAGAAGACAAAGTCACTGAATTGGGTCTAAGGCCTGAACATTCCATCTGTTTTAAGAGCTTTAGAGAAGTCCGGCCCAGCCCATGCATTCCAAAGCCTCTAATAATTGTGTTCCATGAAATCATGTCCCTAGTTTCCATGGTAGAAAACACAGAATATGCATATGCAATGCATCCACGCATTGAGTACATATGAATTACAGCATTATAAACAGGAATTACAGAATGGAAACTGCTTTTCATGAAGTAGGCGTGAATCTCTTTTCCAGATCTCAAATCAGAAATAGACAACATGGTTGATATAGTTGTGTGATCATTCTTTATTCCTCTCCTTTGCATCTCTCTAAAACAGTCAAGTGCCAAATGTCCACGACCCAGTTCAATGAAACCAAAAATCATGGCATTCCATGTCACAACATCAGATTTATCCATTATATGAAATACCTTTTCAGCATCTTGAAGTCTACAGCAACTGGCATACATGGTCAACAAGGCAGCACCAGCAGACTTGTAAAATGCGTCCCATGCTTTCATTTTTATTCCATAACCATGGATTTCTTTCCCCCTTTCCAAGGCCCTTGAATACCGGCAAGATACAAGGATACTGGAAAGAGAATCCACATCAGGGAAAACAGTCCAACTATTCACCATATCTCTGAAAATCTCCAATGCAATTGCATGCTTCCCAATATTAGCGTAGCCTGAGATTATTATTGTCCATGAGATGACGTTAGGATTTTTAATTTGTTTGAAAATTTTTGAGGCCTCATTGCAGAGTCCCATCCTACAATAGGCATCCATTATAGTGTTCCAAGTTACAATATCCGGCTCGCAGCCCTCCAGTTTCATATAGCCCAACAGTTCCACAGCCTGCTCAAAGAACCAGTTAGCCACGTAACCTGAGATAATTGAATTCCAAGATAAAATGTCTCTTTCAGACATTTCATCAAAAACCTGTCTAGCACTCCTAGCTTCCCCACATTTGGAATACATATCTATAATGGAATTACAAACTTGTGTATTAAACTGAGACCCAAATATAACGGCATCTTTGTGCACAAGAGTACCCATAACCAAGCATGATGATTGAGCACACGCCCGGAGAACTTTAGGAAACACATAACCATCAGGCACAATACCCATCAATCTCAATTGGCCATAAGTTCTGATGCATTCTTCTGTCAAATGGTGTCTCGAGTAGAATCCGAGGAAGGCCGTTAATGCAAACACATTAGGCTGCAAAAGTTTGTGGATCAAAAGCTGAGCAGAATACAAATCATCGCAATCAGCATACATTTGGATTAACTTGGTTCTAAGGAAGGGGTTTTGGTGTAACCCACTGAGAACCATTTGTTGGTGAACCTGCTTTCCTTGAATGAGAGCTTTTGAAGCAGAGCATGCTTGCAGTAGATGGATGAGTTGGAAGGGAGATGGAAGGGCTTTTCCGGTCATAGCACATAGGAATAAGATGGCACTCTATGAGCTCAGCCATTAACTCATTACTCATCTAATGTCGAACGTTTTTATACCTGCCAAGTGCCGTCCATGGAAAATACCAAGCAAATGAAGCTACTGCAAACCACTGAAAATATTAGAACTGCCGTCCTTAACAAACACGGAGATTTCTTCGGAGGCTTTATAACGAGAATATCCTGCGAAGTCCGACGAAAGCAGTTAAGTATCAACGAGGGGGAAAATGGGAACATTGCAAGCTCATCAAATGCGAAATCTCACGACCCCACTTCCCCGGAAAAGCAGATATCTTGGTCGAAAACAAAGTGCCGACGGACCAGAGGAATTCTAGATGCATTAATTTCAGCTAAGAACCACGGAACAGTCGATAAATTTTGTAAAAAAGCAAATAAAAATAAACAATCCAGATCGAAACAAGCAGAGAAGGTCAAAACATTCTTATTAGAGTACCCTTCGCAATTTCCTGCCCTATTCAACTCAAAACGAAAAAGCGCTAACCCAGGACACAAACTCTCACAATCAAACCCGGCTAAGGAAAGTCCCACTATTGTACCCGAAACATGCCTGACATTACTTGCGAATTCAAATATTTGCGAAAAGGGGGAAGATAAAAAAAGAAGCACATTACTTGTCATCACGGCAGAGTCTGAAATTTTTATTAAGGAAGCGCAAGATAAAAAAATAAATATAATAATTAAAAAAAGTTATATATATATATATATATATATCACTGACATAATTTAAATATTTTAATATATATATTTATATCTAATTTTATACATATATAACAATATATATATATATTAAGTTTTTTTCATTGATTTCTTATGGTATAAAAATTATTAGTTATTATATTTATTATAAATGTTTTAACAATTTTTTTTAATATGAATTATCATCAAGTTGGTATAAATTTTATAATCTCTATAAGTATTAAATGATTTGAGTACATCATTAAAAGTTAAAGTTGTATTCAATGTAATAAGTTATATTACTTGTTTGTTAAATTTATTATTTAATTTTTTTAATTGATAATTGTAGTAAATAAACATATCAACACATTAATAATGCTCTATTGTCATAAAATATTTATGCCAATGAGATCAAATTATATCAGAGTAAAATTCATTCATATCATAAATTTTAATAATTTGATTATTTTTTAGAAAAATATTTTCACCAAACCTTTTAACTTTTGCATAAGTGATTTTATGATATATATATCAAGCAAATATCATTCAACATATCTTGAGATTTTTGTTCTAATGCTTAACAAAGTTTGTTAATAATAGTTCTCACAATTTCTTTCATTAAATAGAAAAAGAAAGCAAAATAAAAGGACATCAATATTTTAAGAACATGTATAGTATTATCTTATTGAAAATAAATAGATTTTATGACAACAATATCTTCAAGTTACTAAAATAGTTATTCTATACACATGTAAAAGACTATGTATAAAATTAAAATGAGAATTAAATTTAATATTTCATAATTTTTATAATATACCAACTTAAAGGAGTCAAAAGTATATAACCTCAACATTTTATTAAAAAAAATGAAAAAGTTAAGGAGCCGTGGCCCCTGTTAGTTTCCCTTCCCTCCACCCCTGCTTGTCATAGTTAAAATGGAGCTGATCTTGAGCGGCAAAGACCACATAGCAAGTAAGAATTAAAGGGGGAAGGAATTAGGAGCACCTTGTTGAAGAAACACGTGTCTTCTACCACAGTTGTTGGAGGAACAGAGGGGAAGAGATCCAAAGAAGCAAGAAGCAGATAGCCCAGATTGCTCTAGATGCTCCACAGTAACACCAGTTTCTTCTATACGACAGCTAAAAGAGTTGAGAAATGGTCGAAGAGAAGTATCCGAGGGGAATGGTGGAGGCATAAACAAACAAAAGAATGGCCTCGCTTTAGAGTTGGCTTTGCATTGAAAAACTTAGTAAGGAGAGCCCGTAAGCTTAGCCAAAAGGCACCCCGAGCTGCCCTGCTTCTTGGTGCTCTATCTGTTTCAAATTTTTTTGCTTTGGTTACTATTTATGTAGTCTCAGACGCTGCAGAATCAGAGTATATGAGCCGGTGAGTGATTTAACTTCAACGTATAAAATTTGGCATTGCCTCGCAAATGTAATAAATCCTCGAAGCGATAATGGATGACCCACAACCACAAAGCAAGGACCCGAGGGTGTGTTTAGAAGTGTAAGATGGGATGAAAAGAAACTGTCATTAATAAAATAGAATTTGATTGGAGTGGGACTGAGTGAAATAGAATGAAATATTTCATTATTTGAGAGTTTCACTAAAAGAATAAATAATTTTATTTAATTATTATTTATGAATAATTATAAAATTAATAAATTTGAATAAGATATAATTATATTTTTTTTTAATTTTAAGGTAAGGGGGAGTGAAAGAGTGAGAGGAGGTGAGAAAGATCAAGGTAATTTTATAAAAATATTATTTATATCATATAATTTCATCCTTCAAATTAGGGGGTAAAGAAAAATAAACTTAGGATGGCAAGGAATGGTTTGGAAAGTCACTCTAAATCATTCCACTCTCTTTTAAAATTTTCTCTCAGACAATGATATAAAATTTCTAGCCATCACATTCTATCACTAAAAAAAACTCCTCAACATTACCTAAGGCACGTGATGGTGAGGAAAGAACCAAAAGCAGCACAGGGATACAACTCCTATGACCCTTGTCTTTCGCTTGATTTCTTTTTTTTTGGGTAAATCTCATTAAAATTTTAGGAATACACTTATTGTATCCATCCTAAATTATAAAATAATTTTAAATAAAATCATGCATGTTAAAAAAATTATTAAATGAATTTTATAATTTTATTTTGAAAAAATATAATTTTTTTTAAAATATCATACATGTAATAATTTATTTACAAAAAATATTAAAAAATAATATACAAAAATTATAATATTAGAAAAACATGATTAATAAAATTTTATTTTTATCAAAGTATCTTATATTTTTAAAATTTAAATTTTTTTAAAGGTATCTTATAATTTAAAATGAAGATAGTGATATAAAAATTAGTCGAAATTTATGTTGGTGGCAATGGATTTAGGAAGAGTGGCAGAACAAGACATTTAAGAATTAAGAAGAAAGATGTGTAAAATGTCTTCAAGGGTAGGTAACACTTTTTTAAAATTTAATTCGCTCCTATTGTAAAATTTGGGTGTAAATTAATTAGTTGATCATGGATTTATTTTGAATGCCATGAAGGATGTTGGGCATGATGTGCGCTTTCAAGATTCAAGGCAAGGTATCAATTATTTTCACAATTGATAATCAGACTTTATCTTCCATGCACACGCAAAGAGCTTAGATGATGAAATAGAGTAACGGTTAGGATTGTTTATAGACAGTGCAAATTTTGTTTTGAAGTGGTGTCTTTTGAACTGATTTAATTAAAAAAATTATATACTGTGCTTTAGATATTTAAAGTATTTTTAATTAAATTAAGACACGCCAACCTTTTATGTATTATTTATTTTATCAGAAAATTCTTGTTATTAATATTATTTAACATTATAAAATTGATTTATTTTGATTTGGTTTGAGAAAAGTATCTTAAGATGAGTATTTAGGTGTTTCACTAATTAAAAAGCCACTGTTTCATGAGCCTATTTTTACGTGGTTATTTAAAACAATTTTTTCATGAATCATAACATCTTTTTAATATCAAAGTCTCATTAAACTGGCACCTCTTTATCAATAGGTGCTTGTCTGAATGGTTAGGGGTTTAGACAACTTAATTTAAGATTTTATATTTGAATCCTAGAGTACAAAGATGTGCAACTGAGCACATAAAATATTTCTCGTTAGTGATACCCATACATCACATTAAGGGCCCAATTTACATGAAAATTTGGATTAATTTAGAATGGGGTGTGTGGGTAATGAATTGAAGGAGGATACCTACACTCTTCAGGATGAGTGGAAAACTGAAAAAAAAAAAAAAAAAACTGGTACCTCTTTCAACCAAGTGATGTTTACCACACCTTTTTGACTCTATAACAGTTCAAAAATATTTTTTGACGTTTTTTTTTTCCAAGAGACTAGTTTGTTTGTTTTAAAGATATTCCATCTTTTTATTTTTAAGAAAATAATTTCTTTTATTTTAAATAATATATATGTATGTTGCTAATGTTGTTTTGCATTTTATTTTCTACGGCCATTATTTATTTTTTGGACGGACTGAGATTTTCTTGGGTGGTCCAACCGACAGACACGTTGACGAAGATCTCTAGAAGTGTACTAATTAATTTAAGCTAAACTAATCTAAGTTTAACGGCAATGGATTTGGAACCAAACCATGGTTTTGGTTATAGTTGAAAATTAGGGTTAGATTTAGAGACTTTATTTAAATAAAAATTTAGGCTTGAAAAATTGATAGTTTTTATGAAAAACTAGGCTCTTAAGCCCAACCTTAAAAAAGGGACTTGGGAGGCTTTCTAAATCCTATTTCCCAAAGGATCAATAATTTTTTAAATACTATGTTGTCAAAATAATTGAGGTGGGTTATTTTTTCATTTATTTTAACATGACATTGATAGATTTTTTATTAATTTCTTAAATATGATTACTTTGTAAAGTCTATTTTTTAGTCTTGATTAATGTTGTACTTTATGATATATAAGTTTTTGCATTTATTGAATTTGATAAAATTGACCTGGATTGAAGCACATTTTAAAAGTTTAGGTTCAAATAGTCCCTGTATCTATAATTCAGGTTTTAAATTACATATTATTCCGTGGATCATATTGCCTGAAAATTCCAATTTTATAAGATGTGTTTTTTGTAATTTGATATTCCATAATTTAACAAATTTTTAAAAAATAATAATACTTCATTAACAAAATTTACTTCAAAATTACCAATAATTGTTTTATTCTTTAAATATCGTTCTTCTCTTCCCCTTATTAAATTAAATATATTTTTTAAAAAATTAAAATTTCAAAATAATTTTAACTGACTTTTTTTATATTCACAATTTTACTAAAAACATACTATGATAAAATAGATCAGGGGAAGTACAGGTTTTAACAATGAATGAGAATGACGTACACACATTAATAAAATTTGAAAAGTCAAACCTTTCTATCATTTTATTTTCTTTTTTCCCTGCCATTCCGTTAGAATATTTGAGGTGTCACCATCTTTTACCCAGATGAAACCAAATTCATGTTATATGGGATTGTTGTTATTGATGGACAATCTGAGTAAATATGAGATAACATATTTATTGTGATTCATACCATGTCAAACAAAATATCAGATAATAGCAATATTATCTTTGGGCCTATTTATGCAAAAAAAAATTTGTAGTTGGGGCACATTACCATCATTGTACTTTGTTTTCATTTTGTTCTCTTTCGATTTCTTAATAATTTATTTCAACATGAAAAACAACGTTAAAATAAAGTACTATCCCAGATCTATATAAACAAGTCTTAAACATTTTGCAATGAAAATGATGGCTTATGTAGAATTAAGTGTTGAAATATACATGCAGAATATAAAAATT